AATTAGATCTTGTAAAATATATGAACGTTGCAACATTTCTTATTCCTGATAGAAATGTCTAGTATTGTGACAAAGTGACATTCACTCAAGCAGCATTCAAAGCCCATTGTTGAAACTGTGTCACCAGACTAGATTAAGGGAGAGTCTTGAGAGGGTCCCCTTTCTGTTCTGTGTTTTACTTTCTTCAGTTGCATAGATGATGGCTAACAGAACTACAGCCATCATATTGCCCAGAGCATGGTTAGAGTCTTGAGAAGATTTACATTAATCAAACACAAACAGACAGTTTAGCGTAAAGAAATTTCTCTCCTGCCAGCACTGCTCACAATCCTAATTAGGTTTATTGGGGCAGAAAAAGAAAACAAGTCCCTCCACTGCTCTCTGTCTTCCCCACGTTGGTTAAGTTGCTAACTCCTCTTTGAACTGATCTCTTAACCTTTATTCATTCCCTCTTGTGAGAGGAAGGCCCTGATTTCTGAATATTATCCCTAATGTGGCTTATAGTTGGCAGGCGTTAATTTCTGAAAGACCTGGCAGACAGGATGAAAGCAGGAGTAGGCAAACAAATAAAATGTTGTGAACTAGGAAGCCATGTAAAAATATTTCACAGGGTTAAATGAGAGAAATTGGAGAAAAGCAGCATTGGGAGCCTAGAGTTATATAACCAGGTAAAGCACGAACAGTGAAAAGAGGTGAGCTAGGAGCATTAATTGGCATCTTAGTAAATGAGCCATATAGCAAGATAATTAGGAACCCTTTTAAAATAGAATAAAACCTTTAGTGGTGAAATAATTGTACATTTTTGTAATGACAGCCAGTTACTGGAGACACAATTATAGATTCTCTTTCCTACACATCATTTTGTTCATGCATCAAGAAAATTAAAAACCAAGGTTGTGAGGGATAAAACCTCTAATTTGAAATTTGTTAATGTGTTTACTCATGTGTTTGTAAAGTAATACTGTACTTTCAATTTTGATGAAGTGGCACTGCATCCATCTTGTGCCAGCAAATGGAGAAGTAGCCACATCTGAAGCTATTAGAACCACTGCATAGTCAATTATCATAGATCTATTCCATTGCATCTAAACAAAATTAGATAACAGAATGCTTGATTTCTCCAGCATAGAAGATGGAGAATCCATGAATGGGTTAACTCTGTCTTCCTGCCCATTAGACTAAGTCAGTCAAACTTGCCACGCCCCTCCTGGACCAGGATACTCCCGGTCTCGACTTAGTCTGCAGCCCAGACGGATGTGACAAATTTGGCTCCCAGCTTAGCAACAGGTTGTACTGAATGTATCCCATTTGTGAATTCTCCCTTTTTATTTTTGATCTCCACGGCCTTCTCAACAGTGTTGGGATCAGCGCTGTTCCAGATTGCCTTGCTGGAGGCTTGGGATTTCCCCAAAGCTCTAGTGATTATAGCGGAGACTTCCGCTTTCTGTCTACCGAGGCCGATCGTTCTTTTTACCATCTTGTCAGCGCTGGGATCAGCGCTGCTCCGAACGGCCTCGTTACAGCCTTGGGATTTCCCCAAACACCCCTCAGTCATTGCAGAGACCTCTGCCTGACTTCTTTCGCGGCCTGATCGTTGCTTCCGCCATCTTGGTCACTGTGTGGCGAGCTGCTGCCGCCGATCGACTTTATTCTGAGGGGTCACAGCTTTTCCTTCTCGTTACGGCCTGGGGATTTCCCCAAACACCCCTCAGTCGTTGCGGAGGCCTCCGCTTGACTTCTTTTGCGGCCTGACCGTCGCGGCCGCCATCTTGGCCACTGTGTCGCGAGCCGCTGCCGTCGATAGGTTTTTTAGCTTGAGGGCTCTCAACTTTCCCCTTCTCAGTTGGCAATCGGTGGACAACAACACAAACAGTTTGTTCCGTCCCATTTTTCCCGGCCCCGGTCTAGCGGAGGCCGCGGCAACCGCGGCCGCCATTTTGGACGGCCTTAACAGCCAGGAGCCATTTCCTCCCAGAAGGAGGACAAGGGGGTGGTGGTTCGAGCCCATAGGACAGGCCGCTGAGAGTGAATAGGGGAGGCAAATCCCATCGGACTAGGGGCCTGAAGGCCAACAACAATTGTTGATTGCCAAGACAGGCCACACGAAGCTTCCAATAGGCCTTCAGGCCTCAACTGGTGCCTCATTTCACTGACCTGGCCACCATTCAGTGGGCTACGCGTCTGCTGGCTGTCATCACGGCTGTGATTTTGCCGCCACCGTAGATCTGACACATTACGAGCAAGCTGGCTGTCATCACATATGTGATTTTGCTGCGGCTGTAGGCACGACTGGGCCACTAATGGGGCAACTAATCGGTCAGGTAGCCACAGGAGCACGGCTGGTGGGCCAGACTCCTACAAGTCGGCCTTGAATTCACCAGCTCCAGCAATACTTGTCTGATACACCAGGTGGACCACAACCATATCTAGTACTTGGCTCCCAACTGCTTGAGATCCCTCTCAGCACAACACTGAGATATCTCACCTTGTTATGGCTGACAACACGGTGCCCCAGCCTCCTCAAGGCACCTCCTCTACATCTACCAGCCAAAAGAGGCATAGGTCCTCCAAACAGGAGGCGGCCAGCAAGATCAAAGCCAAGGCTAAAACCATGTCGGGAAGGAAACCTTCCATACTAACGGAAAAACAGACTAGCAGAAGGCACCAGGCGCTGGAAAAAGAATTCTCCAAAGCGCAGAGGCAAGCCATGATGGACATGGAGCAGGCAGAGACCTCGGTCTTTGACCTCCCCCTGGGGCTCCCCGCTTCCACTCGGGGTCTGGTCCCCGGAGGGGATCCCTAGCCACCTTCCTCCCTTGGGGGATGATCAGGAACAATTTTTTCCTCATAGCGAGGAACCAAACGTCCATCAGGCAACCTCGGTACCTCAGACCCCTCAGGCAGCACCAGAGGCCACCTTCACTCCCACAGCAGCTGGGCTCAGGGCAACAGAGCCTCAAGGAGCGTTTTCCACTGCGCACCTTCAGGCACTAATCTCTCAGGCAGTTGACCAGGCTTTCGCCTCCAGATCTTACCATAAGTCCAGGCCCAAGTCGGTTGCCTCCATACCTCCATCATATCTTCCCCAGTTGGGAGCACCCAAGTACCATGGCTCTCCCTCGCCAGCCCAATCCTCTCACAGCAGGGCATCTTCTGCTGAGTATGACCAAACAGACACACTATGGTCGGAGGAGGAGTAGCCCTCTTCAGAACCCCCTCCATTTGGGGGTCTCTTCAACCCGGCCCTTTTCGTGCCACTGCTCCGCAAGGCCAGCATCACTGCGAACATAGATCCTGATCAAATTCCTCAGCCAGACCCTTCAACCAGTTCGGATCCAAATCCATTTTTTTCTGAGCCTGTTGTGACTCAGCACCATGTGCCCTGTCCCCCTCTATTCTTGAACGCCATTCGGAAACAATGGGTCTCACCTGGCGCCTTCCCATCCCTAGGGGGAACGGACAGAAAACTGCTTAGCGCAACACCAGCCTTGGCTGACACTCTTGAGGTGCTAATGGTGGATGAACCCTTGACCTCACTTTTGTCCTTATCTGCGGTGTCGGGGGATATGGCCGAGACGTTGAAGGCTGAGGATAAGAGATCGGAATTGACGTTCCGCAGGACACATCAGGCGGCAGCGTGGGTGGTAAGAGCGGCTACTTGTTCTTTCTTTGCTAGGACCTCTCTCCTCTGGCTCCACCAGCTCCAGGTCAGAATCCCTCCAGAGGACGTCTGCACGCACCAAGACCTGAGAAAATTGGTTGCAGCCTCGGAGTATATATCTGATGTGTCTCTACACACAGCCAGGTTTTCTTCCAGAGCCATAGCCTCCAGTGTCACCACACGACAGCTCTTGTGGCTCAAGCATTGGCAAACTGACGCCAAATCCAAGTAGCGTTTGGCTGCGGCCCCTTACCAGGGTGGTCAACTGTTTGGAGAGGCCCTGGCAACTTATCTAATCAAGAATAAGGATAAGCGGAAGGTGATGGCTCACCTCAGCAGACGGGCGGACAGATGTTCCAATCCGTATGCCCGCAGGCAATCCTTTCGGTCAGGGGCAGGCCCAGGTTCTGTGCAGCCCTCCCGTCCCTTCACGGCCAGACAGTACCGTCCATCTGAGAGATTGGGCGCCAGGCCCAGACAGCATTACCAGGGCAAGCAGCCCTTTCGGGGCATGGGGGGGTCGCCCCTTCAGAAGGTCCTTCAGAAGCTTTTTTCGTCCACCAGTGGGAAGTCACCACCACAGACTCCTGGGTCCTCCGAACCATCCGATACGGCCTGTCCCTGGAATTTGTGTCCAACCCGCCAGGGCGCTTCATTTCTTGCCCGCAATTGAAAAATCCAATCAAGAAGGAACTCATGCACGAGGCCATTCGATATCTCTTGGGGATAAGAGCCATAGAACCAGTTCCGGCTGGTCAACTGGGAAGAGGATTTTATTCCATCCTCTTTGTGGTTCCCAAGGCCTCAGGAGGATGGAGGGCGATACTCAACCTGAAAGGTCTGAACTCCCACATTGCATACAGGAAATTCAAGATGCAAACGTTCCAGTCCATCTTGGCCAGCGTAAGGAAGGGAGAGTTCCTGACGTCCATATCCCCATCCTCCCTGATCATCGTCAGTTCCTCAGGTTCTGTTATATGAGCCACCATTACCAGTACAGAGCCCTGCCGTTCAGCCTCTCATCGGCTCCAAGAGTGTTTACCAAGATCCTGGCGGTGCTTGGCGCACAGTTGAGACTGGTGCCAGTACGCATTCAGTGCTATCTGGACGACATTCTCATCCAGTCGCCCTCCTTTCCGGCCGCCCAGTTGGATCTGGCGTTATCGATCAAGACCCTCCAAGATCATAGGTTCTCGGTGAACTTTCAAAAGAGCCAGACAGTTCCCTTGACCCGCCTCCTACACCTAGGGGTGGTCATAGACACAGACCATTGCCAGGTCTACCTGTCTCGGGAATGTAAGGACAGCATCCGAGCCCTGGTCCGCAAAGTCCGCAGGGAGCATGTGGTGACACTGGCCGTGCTTTCCCAGTTGCTGGGAAAGATGATATCCTGCATCGCAATAGTGCCTTGGGCCAGACTGCACTCCAGGAACCTCCAATGGTTCTTGCTCCCATTTCAAAGATTAGGCACCAGCTCCTCCAACCAAAGGGTAAAGGTTTCTGCTCAGACCCTACGGTCCCTTCGGTGGTGGTCCTCCCCAGCGGTAGCCAGAGGGTCATTCTTCAAGGAACCCGTTCGGCTCATCCTTACGACAGACACCAGTCTGTTTGGCTGGGGAGCGCACCTTCAGTCACAGTTGGTTCAGGGCCGGTGGTTCTGGTTAGATCTGAGGCACAACATCAGTTGGTTGGAGCTCAGAGCCATACACCTGGCTCTCCGCCACTTCCGCAACAGGGTTGCGAGGCAACATGTGCTGGTCCTCACGGACAATGTGGCGGCAAAGGCCCATGTGAACCGGCAAGGGGGTACCCATTCCAAGTCCCTTATGGCCGAGGCCCAGTTGTTGGGCTCCTGGGCAGAGACCAACCTTTCTTCCCTCAGGGCAAAGCACATCTCGGGGGAGGCAAATCGACAGGCGGACTTTTTAAGCAGGTCAACCATGGATCATTCTGAATGGTGCCTGCACCCAGACCTCTTCACAGAGATATCGGAGAGGTTCGGCCGACCGGTCCTGGATTTGTTCGCTTCTCAAGCGAACTCTCAGCTCCCGAGATTCTTTTCCCAGTTCCCGTCTCTGGGAGCGGAGAGAGCAGATGCTCTTCAGAGTCCATGGCCACAGGGCCTGCTTTACACATTTCCCCCTCTTCCTGTGATCCCAGCAGCTATCCGCAAGATACTGCAAAAGCAGGCGGAGGTGATATTCGTGGCTCCGCACTGGCCTCGTGAATCTCTCCAGATCTGCACCATGGAGGATTCCCCCAGGTCGCATCAAACTCAGCCAGGGAGTTCTGAACATCCTGAACCCCAGTGGCTCCAGTTAACCGCCTGGCACTTGAACGCTGGATCCTGTCTTGGGAATCCTATTTGTCAGGTGTAATTTCCATGATTCAGGCCTCCTGACGGCTGGCGACGAATCGCATCTATGACTCCACAGGGAGGAATTTCTGCCATTGGTGCGAAAGACACCACCTGGCTATCTCGGATATGACTATTCCAAGGATCTTGGACTATTTACTGGAAGGTCTCGATAAGGACTTGGCGCCTAATACCATCCATAGACAGGTGGCGGCTCTATCCACTCTACTTACCTGTAACAACTTGGCGCCGTTGGCTCAACATCCTATGATACGCTCCTTTATCAAGGGCGCCACCAACACAAAGCCGCCTGTGGTTCATAGGTATCCCTCTTGGGAATTGCCACGGGTCCTACAGGCCCTCACCATGCTGCCTTTTGAGCCTATCAGAACCTGTGCTCTACTGTCCTTGTCTCTCAAGGTCGCCTTCCTGGTAGCCATTACATCACCCAGGCGAATCTCTGGGCTGGCAGCGCTTTCTATCAGGGATGACCTATGCGTTTTTCATCGGGACCGGGTGGTCCTTCATTTGGATCCTACCTTTATTCCCAAGGTCAACACCCTGTTTCATAGGGATCAGGAAATTGTACTGGCAGATTTTTGCCCTAATCCGTCTCATGACTTGGAACGTCAGTGGCATGCACTGGACGTCCGCAGGGTGTTGCGCTATTACATCAAGCGGACGGCGGCCTTTCGCAAGTCAGAAGCCCTCTTTGTTTCCTTTCACCATTCTTCTATAGGACAGAAAGTGTCTGCCTCTACCATAGGCAGGTGGATCAGGGGTTGCATTGCGGGGGCGTATCTGTCGCATTCCCTGTCAGTTCCAAGTCATGTTACTGCGCATTCAACGCACAGTGCTGCGACCTCGGCAGCATGGGCCACACAGGCATCCATCGAGGACATTTGTAAGGCAGCGACATGGTCTTCATCTTCACCATTTGTGAGGCATTATAAACTGGACAGGTTTGCCTCTGCGTAAGCCTCTTTCGGACGCAGAGTGCTCCAACAAGTGGTGCCGCAGGATGGGACACTGGCCCTGACTGTTTCCCTCCCATAGGGACAGGTGGCTTTGGTATGTCCCATTCGTGGATTCTCCATCTCCTATGCTGGAGAAGGGGCATTGTCTTACCTGAACACCTTTTCTTAGCATGGAGATGGAGAATCCACTCCTGCCCCTTAGGGTCTGTCAGGTCCAGTGTTAGGGGTCTGGGAGCCAACACGTCGGACTGTCGTCAATAGCTTTCGCCCTCATCGAGACTGGGAGTGTACTGGTCCAGGAGGGGCGTGGCAAGTTTGACTGACTTAGTCTAATGGGCAGGAAGACAGAGTTAACCCATTCGTGGATTCTCCATCTCCATGCTGAGAAAAGGCGTTCAGGTAAGACAACGCCCCTTTTCTCTAAAAAGAGAACACGTAAAAATACTGTAAAGCAAAAAACTCTGATTCAGTATTCCCTGATCTAGTGTCTTCTACTTCTGCTTTTTGGGGTGATGGCTGTTGTACTTTGGAGACAATTTGAGATAAGTTGTTTGATATCATTTCATGGCTTTGATATCAGTTGTTTTCATGTTTACTTTGTGCTGAAGCTTCTTTATTTTGGTTTTTAATTTAGTTGACCATTCAGGATAAATGAATGCTCGATATAAAGCATATTAATTCCTTCTGATAGGAATATTTTAGAAGAGCATTATAAATAACTCTAGTCTGTTTTGCTGTTCTGCTAACATCACAGTACAGTAAATGCTGGGAGGGAAAGCTGATGAAACTCCACCTCCTTTTTCCTATCTCCCAGCTGATTAAAAGCCTTTTCAGTGATCTTAAAGCATCTCAAAACCACATAGATAGCATGTGTTTGTTTTTTTTAAGATTTAGCTTTGAGTGGAATGACTTTTCCTGGATAAATTTTAAAAAACCAGGTAATCTCCAAATCTTTGTTTCCTTATATAAGATGCAGTAAAAAAAAAAAGGCTGGGCAATAGCTTATCTTGAGAGTATATGGCTAGCAATGTGTATAACGGTAGTTATATGTATTCTGTGCAGCTAGGTTATAATTGTGCACTTGCTTTTCTGAGAGATGGTTTCTATTTTGTAAAAGCATATTTTGCTGCCTAGCCTCAGTTTGAGAACAAAGCTTTTGACAGCCAAGAAAGATGTCTTGCATGGAGGAAGCAGGCAGTAATATTATTCTCTTGATCAGAGATTCTGAGCTGAATGCAAACCTTTATCCTGCTTTGTAAGAACTCGCCAGCTTTTGTGATTTACCCATACGCAAGGCTGGTTAATGTTTCTATAGTAGTTATTGTTCAGTGTTAGTAAATGATTATAATGGTATTGAATATTTGTCTGTAACAACATTGTAAGAGGGAAACACTGTATTTAGTAATCAAAGTGGCTAATTTAATAGAAATGAATCAGGGAATATGGGGTTTTTTGAAAAACAAATGTTACTGTTATTTATTTTAATTTGACAATTTCAAAATTGGACCAATGGAGTTTTGCAGTAAACCACTTTGAAATATGATTACTGGCTGGGTTACATTATTGTTGCTTTAAAAAAACAATCTGTGAATTAGGTTGTCAGATTGTAAACTTGTATTACATTGTCAATTTATATACTTAATAATATTACTGATCCAGAATTTGAACAACTAATTTGAAAGATTCTATTGTCAATATATGTCATAATACTGCTGATGCAAGGCTCTGTGATGCTTTGTGACAGCATGGGGAGTATCTGTATCCATTTGCAATTATCACAATTAATGCATGTCTCAGCAGGTGGCAGCACCTAACTCACCTTAGCTCAGAAGTATTGGACCAGGTAGTATGTGGATAGGAGACCACCAGCGAATACATTCAAGGCTAGGCAGGGAAATTGAAAAAACTTCCTGTAAGTAGACAGCAGCAAACCACATCTGTACTGTTGCCAAGAAAATTACCTGAATGTTTCCATTAAGTTACCAGCAATCAACCTGACTTAAAAGAGACTTCACTTTTATCTTTGCCTGTTAAAGCATCGAAGTGAATTAGATACACTGAGTAGAAGGATGCCATGAACTAATTTTATTTGAAGTAATTTTTTGAGAGGAAACAGAGGAAGCATATTCTTTCCTAGAAAAACACCATTCTAGTTACTCTTGTCTTTAGGCCATCTTGTGTAATTGTTCACTGATAAGGCATTATAATTCTTCAGTTTTCTTTCAATTACAAACAGCAAAGACTTTGTATTGCATAAGATTGTCTCTTTTAGCTTTAGAGCTCAAATAAATTAGAGCTGAGTGAGAGATCATATGCTTTTTAAATGTCAGTTCCAGTATCTTCAACTAGATAAGGTGCCTGTGTCGAATTTTAGAGAAGTGTCAGTCAGTGCGGAAAGATTGATTTAAACAGACCAATGATCTGACTTGAAAGGAGCAAGAACGTGGGTATTATTCAAATGAAATAATACGCTCTTTATGTCCTACACCAGAGGTAGGCAACCTTGGCTCTTTTATGATTCGTGGACTTCAACTCCCAGAATTCCTGACCCAGCATGGCTCAGCTTGGAAGCCTCTTCCTTTCCCCTCAGCATGGCTGGCTCAGGAATTCTGGGAGTTGAAGTCCACGAGTCATAAAAGAGCCAAGGTTGTCTACCCCTGCCCTACACCTTATGGTCTTATTCAGGCATTAGAGTAGCAGGATTGTCTTGCTTCTCTTACCCTCTGTCTTCAAAATCCTCTTTTTGTTTTATTTATAGGTTATTCAACGGAACACTATATGCTATGCAATAAAATATGTAGACTTTAAAACAAGAAAAATCAATCTATATTCTGGTAAAATTTATATTTTAAAAAACTATCCTTTTTTTAAAAAAAATGCTCAATTTTAAAATTAAGTTTAGCAAAGCATGCAAGTAATAAATTCATTACGTTCAGTGAAAATCTATTAACAAATGCTTTAATTAAATCATCCTGTTTCTATATCACAAAACGGTTGACTATCTAGAAATTCTTAGCAGATCTTTCCTCCCTAGGTAGATCCTGCAATACAACTGATCATAGCAAATAAATTGATAATGAATGAAATAATCAATAGAATTTTGAACTTCATTAATGTACATGTTCAGCCTTCTAGTCAAGCCATAAAGATTCTCTGCCTTACAAGAATAATTTATAAAATTATACTATGGAGAAAAGAGTCAGTAATTGTGAGGTGTATCTTTTGCTTTTAACAGAGTTTTGGATTCCATTTCTCAGTAATACTTTTTAAGCTATGGAGGGCCAGTTCTTATTTCTATATGTCTCTATATTTGACTGATGAAATATGTTGTGAGAATTATATCATGTTCTCTGTATGCCAATGTGTATTTCATGTCTTTTAGCAAATGTACTCTTATTCCTTGCAATGTAGGACAGCCTTCTGTGCTTATACACAGCAGGAGGTATAGTACAAATAGAAAGTAGGAATTTCAGAAATTTATTCCATGAAATTTGAGTCATATTCGTTGGAATTTAATTTTCAGTACCATGTTACATAGATGAAAATATTTTGGGTACCAGAGAAATCTAATTGTTCAACTCCTTCAAGTACAGTCTAAAATTATTTTAAATGTCTCTTGCATAGATTTGAAGTAAAAGATCTTAATAGCTGTTTAATGATGCAAAGCATGTGAGATGCAGCTAATAGATGCACCAATTAAAATTGCTGTAAGCTTATTGGGCTTACTATAGTTATGACTGTGGTAGGTAAAATAAACAGGTGGTTTATATGAAAACCAACTCTTGATCCACCTAGCTCAGTGTTGCCTATTTTTAGACATGGTTCTTTCCCAGTCCCTTCAAAGATGCTCAGAATTTTGAATCTCCTGCATCAGATGTAGGTTTTCAGTCATTGAGTTATAAAGCCTTCCTTTGATTATTTAGATTATCTCTGCATGGAAGTTTATATAGTTTTGTTATTTTGAAACAAAGATTCTAGGTAGACCTTACATTAAGCATACTTGAGTTGCAAATTATTAAATGTAATTGATATATTTATATTCTTTACTTTGTCTCCCAGTTTCTCTAAGCCATAATTACAGAGCCAAACTTGTACAATTATTTGATTTGTTTAAAGTTATTATTAAAATGTTGTTTGCTCCCCAGAGTAGTTCTTTGTGCCACCCATAGTCGTCTTCAATGAGATGGGCAAATTTACAAATTTTATGTATAAATAATAAAATACTTCATAGACTCAGTTTATCAAATGTATTCTCTGTTAGTAGAAGAGGGATTTTTCTCAACTTTATTGTATTGGCTCAGAATTTCAGATTTTGCCCAATGCAGCCCCATCTTAGTGTCTAGAAATATGTAAAATGGAACTCTTCAATGCCATGTGCTTACAAGTAATTATTTGCAAATTAAGAATAACCAGGAAAATGGAAGCCAGTTCTGTTTTGTAGGTTTGTTATAACTAAACTAGTTTGCTATCCTGTTTGTAGAATGAGTTATCAATAGTAAAAATGAATACCTTTGGGAAGAACAGGATTTGATAGGAGAAATGTTTGGCATTTTTGTTTTGTTTTTAAAAATCCTTTTTCCTAAGTGAGCACAAGTTCGCCAGCAAACTAAGCCTTTGACAACACTCTGGCTCCCCCTTACAGGGCAGCACAATGGCTACATTGAGTATAGCTGCTGGGGAAGCCCTCCTTTCCTGCTGATTTTGTAAATGCAGTTCTTTCT